GCGACTCCCATTGGTCAGCGCCATGGCGACGACCTCTCCGATAGGCTGGAGAGGAAATAGGCGGGGCCCGGTGCGTCGGGGCGGGCCTCGAGGGCGGAGGGGCGGGGCCGACGTGCCGAAAGGGGCGGAGCGAGGCAAGGGGGTGTGGCGTAGTGCCGAAATTGGGGGCTCAGTTTGGGGCGGGACGTGGACTGATGATAGGCGGGGGAGCAGGGTTGGGGGGGCGTGCTCAGGCGATGGTGAGACCTTTTATGGAGGGGTGGGGTTGTGCAGATGAGGGCAATGCATTGCAGGTGATGGGCGGAGCTGTTCAGATGTGTTGTGGGCGTGGTCGTGGGCGGGGCTGTGCAGGTGAGGGCGCCAGCCGGGCTCGGGTGGGCATATGACCTGCTCAGAGGAATGAATCGTCCGTCACACCAGCCCTGTGATCTTGGGGAAGACAGTTGGGTGTTATTAACCCGATTGTGAGTGCGGGAAACTGAGGCACTGGTAGGTTATAGTATTTGTGTTTCTTTGAAGAATAGATGCTATATAAATCCAGTAATCACTAGTGTGTTCTCATAGGATACAATCTCACGGATGGATAAACTTAAACATATACACAAACAGCAAGCATGTGTAAATAATTATTTTGAGTAGTATTCAACCTAACTTTAACACTTACATGGTAGTCTCAGTTTATGCTAACACAAAAATTGTAATGTAGAAATGAAAAATCAGAAATTGTCTATGCACTTTGCTATGTTACAAAAACATATACTATGTTATAGTGAAACTCATTGTTTTAGTAAGATTAGCAAGTGAGTTTTAAAAAAAAATCAGAATAGATTGTAACTGAGATTTAGAGGGACAATTGAGTGAGTATTGGGGTGTTAGAGGTTGAATTATGTCTCCCCAAAAACATATGTTGGAGTCTTAACCCCCAATCCCTCAGAAAGCGACTTACTTGGAGACAGGGTCTTCAAGCTGAAATGAGGTCAGGAGGGTGGGTTCTACTCCAATACGACTAGTGTCCTTTTAAAAAAGGGAAAATGTGGGTGCAACGGCATACATACCTACACAAACAGCGCGGAGATGAAGGCAGACATCCCAGCATCCGGGTGATACTTCTACAAGCCCAGGAACACCAGGACTGCCAGCAAATTACCAAAAGCTGGGGAAGGGGCGTGGAACAGCCTCCGACTCAGAGCCTGGCGAGGAACCACTCCTGCCGACACCCGGATCTTGGGCCTCCAGCCTCCGGAGCTGTGAGACAATAACCTCTGTTGCTCTGGACCTCCCAGTTTGGGGTCCTTCTGTTAACGCAGCCCTGGCAAACTAATACAGAGAAGTCGAGATCCTTCTACCTCTGAAAGAAAAAAAATATGAAGCGATTTAATCAAACATGGTGTTTTCCAGGGTTGCGCGTCATTGACATAATACATGCTTTTGGAAATTCCTTATTTCTGAATCTCTCATAAACCTAAAGTGGTGATTATTGGTAATTAAACATAAGGTATTAACTCAGTGCCTCCAAATTTAGGATCATAGAAATGTATAAAATGTTGACAAACTCAGTACTAATAATGCAGTAGAAGAAGAAAAAGTCCCACACTTGTCAGAAAACCCAGCCTCCGATCTTAGCTCTACTCACTTGTTCATTCATTCATTCATTGATTCATTTATTCTTTCTTTCTTTCTTTTTCACTCAACAAATAGTTATCGTGTCACCTATTTGCCAACCACTGAATGTTGCTACTGATGAACTTGAATAAAACATTCTTTCTGTTTAATTTGTAAACACTTGGCTCACCTGCAAAAAGAGAGGAGACCAGAGTTTCTTCAAGTTTACTTTCAACCCTAAAATTCCATAGTTTTATTATCTTGGGTCTTGTGACATTGACCACGGCACTGACCTTAGCCTTCAATTTATTTTCTGTCAGTTTAAAATGACCTATTAAGAAATTCAAATTGATTTGGC